GGTAGTATTCACCCCACTGCACGAGGTGATGAGTTATCTGTGTTCGAGGTCTCAGACTCTTCTCTCTTTGCAGTCCGTTTTCAGTCATCACGGGACATTACTATTCCAAGGCTGCAGTCATCACTCGCCCATGCAGGTGGAATGAATATGATGGGCTTGTTGGCATTAATGGCCCAGCTGAAAATACGTCACGGTCTAACTTCTCTGAGGGAAGGACAGAGGCCCCAGGGTTGTACCTCTCGTGAGCTGTGCGGTTCCGTGGTCCCCGAGGTAGGGCGGGAGCCGGCTGTCTGCTGTTACAGAGCTGAGAGTCTTTCCTGTGCTCTCGAGCCAAGTTCTGCAATTCTATCCCTAGAATCTCAGAAATTTTGAGCTGAAAGAGACCTTTGGCATTATCTACTCCTAATCTAACCTTCTCATTTTACAGATGAGGTCTTCGGGGCCCAGAAAGGTTAAGTGACTTTGCAAGGTCACCAGCTAGGAAGGGGCAGGGCAGGCTCTGAGACCCAGGTCTGAGGACGCCTAGACGAGAGCCTGTCCCAGTGCAGTGCCTGTCCCTCCCTGCGTCCGTGCCTCCATCTTGAAGTGACGCCCTTGGCCTGCAGAGAGAAGTCCAGGCCCTGGTGCTGGGGGTCATGCCAGTCCAGCACGTGTTAGAGGCCGAGGGTGACACCGAAGGTGTTGGGTGTTAGGCAGTGCCTTGGGTTTCTGTGTTCATGCAGAGACTCCAGATGGGATTTTACCTGTGACTCACAGCATCTAAACCCCACTCATAAAATGATGGGGAGCACAGTGGGGCAGGTGCAGGGCCACGGTCTGAGGCAGGTGCAGGGGGTGGGGATTAGGGAAATGCTTCTGCCCCTGGTCTGCACGCCCAGCCCTCCAGCCGCTCTGAGTAACTTTCCTGTCTCGGCTGCTTGATGCTCATTTTCACTGGATTTCACCTGCCTGGAAGAGAAGGGCATGCAGGACGGTGCAACGGAAGCCAAGTTTGTTATGTCTGGAGCAAACTCAGAGTATTAATAGTTAGTGGCAGGTTGAACTTGGAAAGAAAGCACAACATAAAATAAAATGCAGCAAGATAAAATTAACTTCAAGAGTTTTGTTCTAAAATTGCCAGGTAATTATTGGCCTAATATACACACACACACACATACGCACACACGTATATCTATCTCAAGCATTACACATTCATTCTCTCACACACACTTCTAAACCCGGAGGCCCAGTTTTAGGTCTAGCTGCTCCGTAAGTCCTGTCATTAGTTACTGCCTGGGCCAATTATTTGTGTCCCTGCGTTTCAAACATATATAGCCTTAACAGAAACTTCTCCCCAGTTAAAATGAGAATTCTACTTCATCGCAGTCCCATACAATGCTTAGTTTAGTGGCAGGCACACAGTAGGTCATCAGTTCCTTAAGCCCACTGAAGATCAAGGTGGGGCGGCCTTAGCAACTTGGGGTAGAACTGCCCTGCTTCCCAGGACCTCAGGTGCAAGCTTTGGGTCAAGGCTGGATATTTGGACCGTAATAATGACAAACTCCTCATAGGGTTGCCTTCTCTGAACTGAATTCAGTTTTAAACCCTTGCCATTTTCAAGGGTCGAGTACATCAGTTCTCTGTTGCATTTGCTATTAAAAAGAGCTGTAGGAGGACTCTGCCTGTCACATCACTCAAGGTCCCCTTATATAAAGTCCCACAGATTTTCTCTACAATTCCAAAGCTAAAAACCCTGCTTTCCCTCAGTATCTGTCATGCTTCTGGGGTAAGAGCACAATACCTGTGTTGGGAGAAGGCCCCCAAACTAAAATCAGGATCGATTCCAAAGAACTGACATATCGCCATGTTCAAATTCATAAGAGCTTTACTAGGAGAAACTTCCATCACAAGCAAGGCAGCTGCTCTCGGGCGGACAGTGGGCAGTAAAGAACCCCCTCCCGGGACCAGGTCCCTTTTCTACAGAGGGTTAATAGTGAAACCAGTGCACTCCTCAGTTAACAGATAACATCAGGCAGTTATCACACTCTGTACGTTCATTACCCTCCTTCCTGGGGGCAAGGCGTGTGTCTTTGGGGGCCATTCCAGCTTTCTGGGTAGTCCGCCAAGCCGTAGGCTCCGGAGCATTGAGAGCCCAACACTTCCCAGACACCTTATTGCATCTCAGGGCATTCCCCTGTACATGTTAGCTCTCCTTGCACTTTGGGGAACTATGGGTCTAATTGGGTTCCCCCTTTCCCCTGGCATTCAAGACCTCCAATACATTCTAGGCTTAATGACATAGATAACTGTGTGTGTTGACAGGTATGTTCCTTGTTCAGAGTTTCTTAATTTTTCATATCTTGCTGGTTGCTATTTTAAAGCTTCTTTCTTTTTTTTTTTTTAAGACTTATTTATTTATTTGTTTATCTTTAGAGGGGAAGGGAAGGAGAGGGGGAGAGAAATATCAATGTATGGTTGCCTCTTGTGTGCCCCTGCTGGGAACTGGCCTGCAACCTAAGCATGTGCCCTGACTGGGAATCAAACCATGGTTACTTGATTCCCAGGCCCACGCTCAATCCACTGAGCTACACCAGCCAGGGCTTAAAGCTTCTTTCTAATAACAAAAGTATTTGTAGTCGTTAGGAGTTTTAGAAAAGAAAAATTGCCTATAATCTAATAACCCAGCAATTGCAGCCTCCACAAAGATTCGGATATATAGTATTTCCTTCTGTGTCATTAGAAATTGGAGACCAACGGAGTCTAGAAATAGCAGTGGCTTAAACCTGCAAGGGTTTATTCTCTCACATAACAGAAACCCTGAGGTAGGCGGTCTAGGTCTGATACGGTGGCTCCAAGACATCATCAGGGACCGCAAGCTTCTGTCTTTCTACTCTGCTGTCCTCTTAATGTGGCTCAGGGAGTGACCTCAGAGTCACTGCGTGGCCCAGGGTGACTGCTGGAGGGGCAGCCATGCTGTCTGCATCCCCGGGATGCAGGCAGGGAAAGGGCAGGAAAGCTAACTCCCTGCCTCTACGGAGTCCCCCCAGCAAGGGGACCAGCCCCTCCAGGCATGGCCAGCGTCTAGTCCCATGGACTCAGGACCCACTGAATTGTAGAGGAGGTTGTTTTGTTTTGTTTTGTTTTGTTTTGTTTTGTTTTGTTTTCTGACAAGGCACATGTTCCAGGTTTTCATTACGAGGAAGGAGGAGAGACCTCGCTGGGGCAAGCCCTCAGCAGACTGCCAGGTTTCCGAACCGCTCCCTGTGTGTTGCGTGCCTCTGCAGCGTTTGTCCAAGGATCGCAAACGGTTTGTAGAATGAGCGAAGCTGTAAACAGACAATGTAAATACCATGAGTAAAGTGCGGTACATCACTTGTCACCCTGCCTTTCCACAATCCTGTTCTGTGACTTGATCATTTAGTCACATGTACAGGTAGTGTACGTCTTGAGTGTCCAGTCGGTGCTGACTAGTCCAGGGTTGGAAGGGACCTGAGGCAGGTTCTCCCCCAGTGACACGTTCAGATGCCTACAGGAAGCATCTAGACGCCGTGGGAGGTGAAGGAGGCCAGGGGCCAGTGGTGAGGACCACCACAGCCAGAGAGAGCATACCCTGTCTGCAGGGCATGGCCGCCTCGCAGCCATATTCAGTCTGGCCTTTTTTCTTTTTTTCAAGAGAAACCAGAAATCCAGATTTTTATCTGAAATCTCCTGGCATTTATAACTTGCCAGCTAATAAATTTAAATTTTTTAAATGCCAGCCAACTGCAACGCCATCCAGGGGCTGCGGCTTTAGGATCCATCTTTGTTTTCCTGGGGGGTGAGGCCCCGGGGAGGCCCAGTGGCTTCTTGTGTGGCTGGAGACTTTGCTCTTTGGCCTCCACTTCAACAAAAGCCTGGTCCCCTGGGGCTAATTTGTTCAGAATACAAAGAAATCATGAAAAGTTCAAGTTGAGCAAGCCTACAGCAAAGGTTGAGCCTTCCCCTGCAAGCTGGCTTTCATTCCCTGTGTAAATAATCACTTTGGGTGGTAGAGTCAGAGCCTGCAGGGCTGGAACCCCGGCCTGACTGAGGGCGAGCCCCTGGCGTCCCCTCTGCGTTTTCTGCACCACCCATTTTTTCCCTTATTTGCTCCTCTCCCTCTCTCTCTGCTCTTCCTGCTTTTGGGTGGCATAGCGTGCTGGTTAAGACAAGGGTCTCTGGGGCCAGATGTGAATCCTGGCTTTTCTGCCTGGCTGCTTCTGTGTGACCTTGCCACCTTACACAAGTTTTCTATACCTCAGTTTCCTCGCCTATAAACTGCAGATAATGATGGTCGCTACCTTATTGGGTTTGCAGGGGTTCAGTGTGTGAGTGTACGTAAAGTATGGGGAACAGAACTTGGCACACAGATAGTTAAAGATTCTCTTATTAGCTGCCTCTGCTGATTTGGAAGCCACGGACCTTCAGCACAGCAGGCTCGCTTCTGGCTCCCCACCTCACAGGAGCACTGGTAGCCCCTGGCACCTCTCTGCAGCCAGCCTCCTGCCCTGGCCGGGACCCGGACCGGCAGGCTGTGTGGCTCTCCACCCGTCCTCGCAGCCCTGTTCTGTTCCTGGTGCCATGCTTTGAGTGTGTCCGTGCCCTTTTATTTTTCCGTCATCGCTGTATGTTGGCAAGAGAAAGAATGAGTCACCCTACTGCTGTCTTGACCTAAAGCCTCATTAGGTCCTGTCGCTGGTAATGCAGAGATACCTGTCAGGCGTTTCTGAAGACTACGTTCTGCAACAAAGGGTAAAAGCAGGGTGCGTTTGCTTTAGCCGGAGTCCTGAGGCCGCAGACAGCCTGTCCTGGGAGCCAGAGAGGGCCCGCTCGTCTGAGGATTGACCACGGGTCCCCCGAAGGTTTGCTCAGATGGCCGGGAGTGTGGCACACGTGTTAATTACAGAAATCATCTTTTCCCCTAGAGACCTGAGATACAGAGGAACGTAAACCGTGCTCGTATTTCCATTAAACTGCTTCCTTCTTGTCACCCATCTTTTCAGCTTTCGGATAAACCTGCGGGAGAGATCTGAGCTGACCGGCCCAGCTGCACAACGTTTCAGGGCCCGTTGATATTCCCAGCAGACAGGAGCCAAGGACACAGGTAGGTACTGTCCAGGCCCGTATTTTTACTTCATCTGCCTCCCTCATGTTAATCAGTAGTGAGTGGCTGTGGGGAGGGAAGGACCCATTTTATTATTTTATTTTTATTGGGTAAGTCTGTTCTAGACCAACAGGGAAATGGTGAAGCCACCTGCTGCTTTTCCTATGTTTACATTTAAAGTTCCATAGTAATGACCGGTGTCATCTTGGATGTATGTATGCTTCTCGTTGGCTGGACTGGTCCAGGTGGTAGGGCTCTCATGAGGGGCCGGGCCAGGGCCACAGGTTGAACCCGTGGAGCATCTTTGAATGTGGTGCTGTGGGCTTTCTAGGCTGCAGACCCCTTGGAGAACCGATTAGCTCTGCAGACCCTCCCTCTTAGAAAACTGTGCATTACACAAACTCCCACAGGGTTCCTGGGCCCTAGAATCCTCCAGGGCATCAGTCCTTAACCTGTTCGGCACCAGGGACTGGTTTCGTAGAAGACAGTTTTCCACGGACTGGGGTGGGGGAGTTGGTTTCAGGATGATTCGAGCGCATTACATTCAAGCTCACCTCCTCCTCTGCAGCCCAGTATTGGTCCATGGCCAAAGTTGGGGACTCCTGCTTTAGGGGACCCACGGACCCCAAGTTAAGAATCCTTGTTTTGGTGATTTATAAATAAGTAGTCTTTAGGGGAACATGTCCCCAGAGGTTGAGTTTTAAGGAAACTGTCAGTTCTTAAAAGTTCAAAGGTGGTTGCAGCTGAATGTATATTCTGAGGTCTAACCTGGATATGAAATTGTGTTGAGTTCATTTTAAAAAATTATTTCCTTGCCCTGATGGCAGAAGGTGACTTAGGGAGCAGGTGCCTGTGGTTGCCTCCCCCCTGAGTCAGGAGTCCCAGCCAGAGATCAGCTGCAGTGCGGGTGGGTCCTATATCTGCCCGAGCCCCCCGACTATAGACAGGGGTTTCTGCATCCCCTGTGACCCCGCCCTGGGTCTCAGAGAGCTCTTTCTGTCGCGCCCCAGTCCTGTCTGTGGGAGAGTGTGTTGGCCTGCCTGTTCTGTCTGCGCTGTTGGCCGCCGAGTTCTTGGGCTGACTGTTTTTAGCAGAGGCTACTTGAAGCCATTCCCGGGGAAGCTGTTGCCATAGCTACCTTGGCTGTGAGAGTTCCCATTTTCTCCTTTTTTGTTAGCTTGTGGTTTCCCTAATTTTGAAGGTGACAGCTGAGGTTCTGTTTTTCTGCTGAGCGTCAAGGAAGAGACTGGATTTTTGTTGCTTTTGTCGCTGTTGATGTTTGGTTTAATGTGTTGGGAGGTGTGTGTGTGCGCGTGTGTGTCTCGTGTGTGAGGTAGAGCTATCTCAAAAGATAAAATAGTAGGAGAGAGTGGGAAAAGCCAGATATGCATGCACAGTTTCCTCACTCTGCAGTCCACTTTTAGCCTGTTTTTGGGCTGGTGGGGGAAAAGTGGGCTGAGCTCCGTTTCACACCTCTTGAACCCTGAGGAGCGAGGAGCAGGGGTCCCTGGGATCTGGGCCAGGTCTGAACTTGACACTCGTGCCCTGAGGAGCAGGTGGCTGAGTCAGGCTCAAGTGGCTTTGTCTCATCCTGCTCCAAAAGTGCAGGGGTGGAGCCAGCAGGCAGTACAGCCACACCTGGGGGCCACGGGCGTCCCACTTCACCTCCGTGTCCCAGGCTGTGCCCAGGGATGGACCTTCACAGACACCCTCTGCTCCTGGCGTGGGCTCAGCCCGCAGAGAGGCCCCAAGCTGCCTGTTAGCACCACAGGGCGACCCGACGCCCTACCCGTCCTCTCTGTCTGGACTGCTCTCTCCCACCCTCCAAAAGGTCCTGTTCTCTGCTGGGAGATGGCACCACAGCATGCTGGCACAGCCGCAGGCGGAGCGCCGAGCAGGGCACCCACGCACCCACAGCTCCTTCATGGCGGGAAGCAGAGACACTCACGACACGCCTCGCCCAGCTGCCACCCGCCCCACCCTTCATTAGGTTTAAATAAAGCAACAGCACCCTGCCCGGCTTATCAGTGTCCGGGACTGTTTGTTTGCATTTGGGTTGTTGCCAGTCCCTTGGTGGCTGTAAAGCCCTCACGGCAGTCCTCCTGGGTGGGCCCCGTGGACACATCTGGGAAGGATGTGTTACCACTGCCTCTGTCTCAGTGACTGTGGGCCCCCCTTGCCTCTTGGAGCTCTAAAGCCAGCCCTGTCCTCTGCTCCCCAGACCAAGATGAACGCCATGCTGGAGACGCCCGAGCTGCCGGCCGTGTTTGACGGGGTGAAGCTGGCCGCGGTGGCTGCCGTGCTGTACGTGATCGTCCGCTGTTTGAATCTGAAGAGCCCCACCGCCCCGCCGGACCTCTACTTCCAGGACTCGGGGCTCTCGCGCTTTCTGCTCAAGTCCTGTCCTCTCCTGACCAAAGAGTGAGTAGACCCTGCCCGCCGTGTACCCGCCTGCTGAGCCGTTTGGCTCTGCGGTGTTTGGAGAACCTTCTTGTGCTGTGTTGTCAGCGTCCCAGCTGTGAAAATAGCTGTTTCCACAGAAGTCTGTGTGAATCCCGGAGGGCAGGAGACAGAGTCCAGTCAATTGTGGTTGCCTGGTGTCGTCCTTCAGGACACGGACTTTGCAGAACACGCTTCTCGTTTTTAGGTAGATGCGGTAAACTGGGACATTCTAGCCCTTGATCAAAGGGTCTGTTTCCGGCTCTGTTGCTAGGGCAGAAAAACCATCCCTACCCAAAATAATTAATGAGCAAAAACACACAGACTTACGAGTCAGATACTGTTTGTTCATCTCTCTCACTGAAAAACGGACTGGCATGAGCTAAGAGAGTCCACTTAAGCAGAATGCCTTCACTCCAGGTGAACCAGTGCCCTGCATAAGGCCAGGTCTGCATTTGGGGGGAGCACTGCCTCTGACAGAGGACACCGTGCTTGTAAAAGGTGCGTCTTATGTCACACTGACTGTTCAGGAGACTTGCAGCTAAACGTTATTCAGAGGAGTAACGGAGTCTTCCTTCCGGGCTCGGGCCAAGCCTCACGAAGCGTCCCGTGTTCTCCCGGGTCTGGCTTCCGTCCTCCTTTCTCTTCGTTGCTGCTTCACTTTGAGCCTCTTCAAGCTTATTCTCTTCTGCCAGGGGCGCCTCATCAGATGGAAGCTGCTCAGAGAGCTGTCTGTGACCCTCGCTCGGGGGTTTCTGACACTCCACAGGCACGACCATCTCTCCCCTCCTCTGCTGGGGGTGGTGACGCTGAGTAAATGACTCTGGTGAGAGCAGACAAAGGTGCAACGACACGCGTCAGAGCTGGGGCTCTTGCTCGTCTCGTGTGACCGATAGATTTTTTTCATGCTGTTCGCCGAGGGCGTGGAGCCGCTGTGTGGGCTTTGGGGGTTGGTAGGTTCAGGTGCAGTTTCCTTGCGTTGTAATAGGGATGCCGTGGCCCAAAAGTTACCGTTGAGAGATGTGAAACTGGGTCGTGTTGCCCAATGTTTGTGGAGTGCCACGCACAGTATAATGTCACCATAGTGACCTGGGAACTGTCCCTGCTGAGGAGTCTCGGTCCCAGGGGCTCCATGCCAGGCATCCGTCAAGGACACGTTGTTCTCGTAGAGGCGTGTTTGCAGGGAAAGGCTCCTCCCGGAGGGGCGCACAGAATCCGCGTGCTTTTCAATCTGCCCAGTGTTTGTTTCCAGTATTTAATGTGGAGGGAACACACGGTGTGCAGGGCGGTTGGGCGTTCATGGAGGGGGAGTAAGTGGCAGCCACTCTGACCTCCTCCCAGGACCAATCTGGAGTTACAACTAAGCTGTAGACGCTGGGGGAGGGAAGAATAAGGGGACTAAATGGTAATGGCAAAAAATACAATAAAGAGTCAACCACAAAAAAAGTGATGTAGATGATTCTCTAACCTGGCCTGGCACGTAACATTTGCCCCAGCTTTCAGGCTGAGTCGGACCCTGCAGCGGGACCCACCTCCTCAGCCATCTCGGTTGTGGAGCTTTCGGAAAGCAAGGTGTTAAACTTGTAAGTTTATACCAAGATGAGTGTAAGTTCCCGTGCCCAACTGCTTCCCCAGTAATCAGAGGAAGTCCTGGAATGCCTTCTTCTCCTAGGCTTTGATTCCACAGTAATAGTTCAAAGGGCAAAGGAAAAGCCGATTAGGGCAGGTTGTTGGGTTTTTGTTTTGGGGGGGTTTTTTTGGTCTTGTTTTCCTTAAAAAAAAAATAACCTAGACACAGTAAGTTTAATGGCCTCCCTTTGCTTTTTTCCTGGCACGCTTTCCCCCTGAGGTTAGGGTGCCGGCCTCTGCAGGGGCGGCCCCACCCTCTGCTGGCAGGGAGTGCATCACAGACTCTCCTGGGACCTCACGGCCATGTCCCCCCCCCAGCACTGCCCCACCCCTGTCAGTACCCAGCTTGCTCCCTCCTGGAGAGACCCAAATGACAGAGGCGTGGAGGTCAGCGCAGCCGTGTAGCTGTGGTCCGGGGGAGGTAGGAAGGGGCGAGTTCCCGGACACAGCAGTCTCCTGAGCCCTGCCCTTCGGCGGACAGTGGCAGCCCCGTCAGAGTGCGCCGGGACGAGGCCTCAGAGGCCAAATGCCAACACCCAGGCTCTCTGGCTCGGACGTGACCTCTGCTTAAAGGGCAGAAGGGCGCACCTTTTCCTCCATCTTTTCCCTGGCCTTTCATTTTTTATGTCGGTGCTAATCGTAGGAATGCGTGTATGCTGCACCCATGTAGCGCCTCACCAAGCTGTCCTCACGTCACCCTGGGGTCCGCAGTGCTGCATTTCATGCTCGTTAAGTGCCCTCGTGGGCATTGTGCCTTTTCATCCTCGCAACAGCTTCGACGTTGGATTCACCTTCCTTTCAACTTTAAGGATCGGGAAACCGAGAGGAGCGGAGAGGGAAAGTGAGCCCGAGTTCGTGACTGCAGACTAGGTTCCCTTTGTAGGAACAGGGAGGTGGACCGAGACCCCCGAGGCACAGGCGGGGGAAGCAAGGCCCAGGGCAGTAAGGGCCCTCCTGCCTGGCCCGGGCAGTCGTCCAGTCCCGTGCGGCCCCGCCCTCTGTCAATCCCCCTGTCAGAAGCCACTGTCCTCAGCGCTCCTGCACTTCTGTCACAGCCTCCTGCGGTCAGGACACGTGTCTGTTACAGTAAAAGTGTTTCTTCTGGGAGTTTGAAGACTTTTTTTCTAGAGGAAGCCTGTCTGCAGCCTTCACCAACCACTGTCTGGGCCGGCAAGTGCAGCCGAGTGATTTACAACAGGCCGCTCGCCGTCCTCGGGGACCGGCCAGAGGCAGCCGGTTACTAGGGTAGGACGTGCGTGCAGGTCGGACCGCTTCCTCCCGCTGTCCAGGAGACCAGGAGACTGCGGGACGGGGGAGCCCTGACCTCAGGAGAGGAGGGGGTTTTTCCCTTTTGGCCTCCAAGTCCATTTTTAAATGTTTTAAGGTCATCTGTCCGACCAGGTATTAGAAATGAATCTTTTTAATGTCTTGAGGAGAACTCTGCTTAGATGGTGGTGATACGTTTCTTGTTCACTTAGCAACAAATCAATATTTACCTAGTGAGTCATTTTTTTTTGTTCTCAAGAAGTGTTTGCTCTCAGTGAAACTCAGAGACTAAAAGCTCAGTTCAGAATTATGAGACAGCAGGTGACAATACAAGTCTCCATTTTTTTCTGAGTAAAAAAATGTAATGCATTTTCATTTTTTTGAGCCGTCGTTTATATATAGTAAAACACACAAACCCAAGTACAGCTCGGGACTTTCGATACATATTCACCTGGGTAACTACCGTTCCTGCGGGCTTTTGTAGAAGTGTCCCGAGTCCCCGCCTCCAACCCCCTCACCGGTCACCGTGCCACCTCAGCCGGCTTCCTCAAGCAGGCCAGGCCCAAGGCCACTGCAGCGCCGCCCCAGCTGTGGTGTCCTCCCTCTGCCCATGATGTGCCTGCCCCCCGGCTGGTAGCCCCTGGGCACCCCCACATTCCCTCCTCTCTCCACCCAAATGCCCCTGATCCTGTAAGCAGTCTTGAATAGCCTGAGTTCTGAGAAACTTCCCCGAACTTGTCCTCACTTCTCCTCAGTCAAAAGGAGCCCCTTCCTTCCCTCCTGCGCATGTCTCTGCCCAGCATGGAGCTCCTCTGCCCATTTGGCACCCCCCACCCTGTTTTATGGGGGGGGTGTCTGCCTCTGTTCAGTAGAGAATGTGTACCCACATCAAGAGCCTCAGGACCCCTAGAGCTTCCAGCTCTGGCGGAGTTTTGTTTATTGGGAAGTCACTACCCTGTCTTAAAAAAAAAAAAAATGGATTGGTTTCTATTGGTCTTAAATTAAGTCAGGACAACCGCCAGGTAGATTCATAAAAGCAGTCGGCAGCCTCCGCCCTTCCCTTTGGCCCTACAGAAGTTTCCATTCAAAGCTAAGAGGCGGCAGGGTGAGGCAGGCACCGGTCTCTGGAAGCCTGCTGTTAACACTCATGTACTCCCTGGGGGAAGCCAGGCCTCTGCTTCTTTGCTCATTAGCAGGCTCGCCGGTGTGGGTCCCCGTGTAGCTAAAGACGTGGGCGTGTAGGAGGCACGTGGTGCAGGGCTTGGCTGACCCATCAGCCTAGAGATGGGTGGCAGGGGCGTGTTCCCCGAGAGACCTCGGCACCCCTGGAGGGCCGAGGAAGGGAAGTAGTGTGATGAAAGCCACAGCCCTTCTTCCCCAGAGACAAACATGTAATGGCTTTCTTTGGCAGCCAGCTGCCACCTGTTCCAGTAGGAACTGGGCATTATTGTTCTCCGTGGGTTCGAGAGGTACCTGAAACCTGGGAATGAGGTCGCGCCCGTTCCAACACCACGCCAGAGAGAGCAGTCGACTGCCTGTGCCCTGGCGCCCTCGCTGAACCTTTCCTCACAGGAGAATGGCAGCAACCCCGGACCTTTCCACGGGCCATGATGGCTTCATCCTCCGTTCTCCCTGGTTCTGCCTTCTCCCACCAGAGTGCAGGCCCCACACAAGACGCCGACTGAAATGTTGTGCTCGCCGTTAGTCCGCGCAGCCAGTTTCCTGTCCAGAGTCCCCCACTTGTCTTGGTTAGTGAGCACTGGAGGGTCCTCTTCTATGAAACTCCTTTATGGGGAGGTATTAAAAAAGACCATCTGAAAAAACTTCTCAGGGCAGAAATTTTCCAAAGGCGCTTTTTAAACTGGTTTCTGGACAACTGTGCTTCCCAGCGACTTCAGATATGGCAGAACAAGCAAACCGACTTGGTTTTCCTCTCAAACAATTCCCATTCCTGCTCAGTCACTGTCATGTGTATTCCCTTCCTGACAGTAAATACTCCCTTTGCTTTTATCTACCCCAAATAAAAGCCTGGGAAGTGCCACGTGTGTCACAGATGTGTAAGACACACCACTCCTGCCCTCGTGTAC